TATTTCCAGAATATTTGGTTATTTAAATCAATTTTCACTTGGTTTTATTTCCATGATTGAAAAACTAGTCTCTAAATCTCCAGGTTTTCCAGGGCGTGTGGGAACCCCGCACACACGTTTTGAACCATGTATAACTATGGAAATAGTGGAATGGAAATGTACAACTGTAGATCCAAATTTACTTTTAGGAATCAATAATGAAAGTTTTTTTTTAACACTCTGGGATTGGTTTAAATTCAGAAGTGGTTCTTAATATCCAACCCCCCGTTAATCGGTACCGAACCTTACTAAAAAAGTAACATCCAAAAATGTGACAAACAGATCATCCATCAGTAAAGGTCCCGCCTTTAAAATGAGTAAAGTGATAAACATGTGAGTGTACATTCATAAACATTCATACTGTTTGTCTGAGTACCTCTGAGGAAGATCCTGTTCAGGGCAGTCCTGGTAGTACCTGATGAAAAACCTCTCAGCGTCCTCTCTCTCTCCGTCAGACACTGCGCCCCCATTCAACACCACCACAGATGGCAGCCTGCAGGCAGGGGTAAGTATGAAGATTAGACAGTTAATAAGTAAAAGTGCTACCCTGCATGTTTACAGCGATAAGGATTGGATTTGTGTGTGTGTCTACATGTTCAGACTCACTGTGCCAGAAGGAGGCTACGTCTCTCGTGGGTTGTGTAAGGCTGCAATAAAGGAATCCCTTTCGCTTTGACTTCCTCCAGCTTGGGGAGGAAATTCAGCCTTTCAATGTCCTCCCATTTACTAAGCCCTGAATAAGACAACATCGCAGAGTTTTAGGCCCACGGTGACTGTTTGTTTACACCATGCACTGAATGTTGGACGTGAATACAACAGATGAGACTCAGACCTGAGTTGTTGAGGTTGATGCTGCGCAGGTTGGGGAAGAGGCGCTGCAGCGTCTCCTGAGTGTCGCACACAGAATCCAGGCTGTTGTTGGCCAGCACCAGTGTGCTCAGACTCGGGTACAACCTCCCAAACTTCCTGACTTCTGCCCACTCCCGCAGCTGGTTCTCTGTGATCTGCAGTAGGCGCAGTGACGGACAGGATGCCTGGGAGTCCGACACGGTGTGGTAGCCGTTCAAGCACAGGAACAGCTCCTCCAGCCTGGATGAGGAGGTGAAGAAATATAAAAGTAGGTACAAAAAAAAATTATCTTCAGTCCAAATCTGCATCTGATACATTTGTTGTGCTTATTTTGTTTAATTTCTAGGCTCTTTGTGTTTGAATCTGCTTTAAAGATAAGGCTGCTGTTATTCTGTAACCAAAACCAAAAATGTGTTCACAAATACGTTGTGTTGTGGATGGGAGCTACATCCTGGCAGGGCTACAGCTACAGCCTACAAACAAGATGGCCACCACCCTTAAACTACAACAACCAGGTCACCAGCACCAAGGGCCAGCTGCCGGCATGGACTGTGTGTTTGGCTGGAACTAGACTTCAAGGTCGGGTTCTCAAACTGCCGGCCAGGGGGCCATTTCGGCCCTCCACTCTGCCCCCTGCGGTTTTTAGCAACTCTTACATAAACAGGAACAAATTGTGCATTTATTAGAGACTATTTTCAGCTATATATTAATACACATTTGGCACTCTAACACAGTGGTTCAAAACCTGGGGGTCACCAGAGCTTCACAGGGGGTCGCGAGGCCTTCTTGATGATACAGGGTGTAAGAAAACTATATTAATTAAACATATACAAAATAGAATTCCATTCATTTCTGTGAAAAAAATGAAAACAACTAAACGGAATTGTTATTTTTAAAGTTCAGATTATTATTTAAAATCTAAACTTTGAAGACATGGACACAATCTATATCCACTGCTAAACAGCCTGGCCCTGCATTAGAAAAGTACGCAGTTAGAACTTATAGAACAATAACAATAAAACAATCTATCAAAAATCGAAGCACATTGATGTATTTATGATTGTTGAAAAAAATACATCAGACAGACAGAGAATTGTGTAAAAAGTTCCTAAAAAGATCAGTTTATATCAGTTGTTCTGTACGGTTGTTGTTATGCTTTAAACATAATTTGATGTGTCCATAAAAGATGTCAATTAGTCAGTTTACTCAATGATAAAAAATGTTGGTTTTGGTCTGTTCATTGGACAGTAAGAAATAAGAACATTGCCATTGAGTTATACTGTAAATTACCAGCCTTTTTGTGAGCCACAGTGGCCATCTAGTATCAGAAAGTATAGTATTATTTCTAATAATACTTTCATGTTGCCTCCAGCTACTGTGTATTACTATCTTTGACATGATCACTGTGGTAGAATAGACACATTACTTTGCTGTGCAGCAATTATGCTTCGTCACTCACTCTTTTGTTTGTTGTGTGAGTGTGTGCACGGTGTCCCAGCTGACGTGTGTTTTAATGAGGACCAGTTGTCGGACCCTGGAGAAAACGTCAGCCATGCTGGGCTCCAGCTTTGTGCCGTTCAGGGGGTTCATGCTCAGATTGAGGAAGTCCAGGTGGGGGGCGTTGGACACGATGGTGCAGATCTTTGTAATTAATGCAAAAAACAAACAGAAGGAACATTAAGTGCATACAATAACATAACTTTGATTTTGTTAATAATCTATAAAAATGAAAATGTATGTGACAGATACTGTACTTTTTATCCACTGTATCTATTTTAAAGCTTTAGTTACTAGTTAGATTATTAATACAATATATATTAATCATCATAAAGTACTTCTTCTACCACAGTGTGCAGGAAAACCACACTGAGGTTACAACGGTTACAGAGACACCACGTGAGGATTGCAAGAACTGTGATTTTGTTGCTTGTGTTTTCTACCAGGAAGGATTGTTGATAGTGAACATGTAGCAGGTTGGCTATCTTCTGTTTCACTGCAAACCTCCTGCTACTTTGAGAAATATTACTGGGAGTAAACCTCCGCTCTGCATCACCAAGTCCACGATGGGACACCCACCTCGACCCAGTCGTTAAGTTGGTTGTGGGACAGGTCCAGCTCCACCACGTGGGCACAGAAAGCGGCAATGTCTGACCTGTCACCGGCTTTAGTGATTCCAGAGTTATTCAGAACCAGTCTGCTGGGCAAGAACAGGCGATCTGGAAATAAACTTAGTTTGTTAAGCAAACCTAATTCTCATTTTGAGGAGCTTTAAACTTTCACCTTCTGTTCTTCTGACATGATGTAACAATGCAAAGTTGGACATACAACCCTGCATCTTCTCTCACCTTTGACGGGGGATCCTGGTGGGCTGGACAGAACCATGACTCCCTGGCCGTAGGGGAAATTCTCTGGGTTGTATTTCTCGCTGAGGACTTGGACGAAGGTGCGCGCCTCCTCTTCATCAGACGACGACTCCATGGTTCCAGCCCTGAGCGGGTACTACAGAGGATGCAAGCAGATTCAGTTTTTGTCTTGATTGACTAACTGTGGAGTCACTACAACAGGTCAGTTCAGTGTTGCTCTGTTTGACTGTTTAAGGATAGAGCTGGTTATTATTATGGTTATTATACTTTATATTGTTGTTATGATCAACAAGTCCCATGAGACACACTGACTTCCTACCCTGTCTGTGGGACCCAGAATCTATAGGTTTTGTATTAAAGATGTATTAAAAGACGGGTCACACAGATATAGTTTCATGGCGAAGAGGAATACGCCACAACAAACTCTACACAGATGATACTTGTTAGCAGGACTGAGTGTTAGCTTCGGCCTTTTCAGGAGATGTGTTTACAATAAAACTACTGCAGCTTTCTTTGTACCTGCCTCAGCCAAAAATCTATCTCACGTCTCCGACTCGTACAGAACGCTGCCGCAAGGATTTTAACAGGCACTAAACGTAGAGTGCTTTTAATCTTAATCTTGCTACTATTTTTAGTGTGTGTATGTGAAGCACTTTGTAAACATTATTATAAAAAATATAGAATATCAGCAGGTTGTTCGGGCAATAAGCTGTTAGTAGCTATAGATTTAAAGCTGTAATAAGAAACTGCATGTTGTCATCCCTAAATAGGAAGAACTTCAATTATCAGAAACCATACCATAAGACGACGACAGTGTGAATAAAGATGTACCTACTGTATAAAATGATATTGTTAGGGGTAAAATCCATTTGATTGTGCTGCCCATACAACTTCGATATATGGAAGACGTTAACAATATCCACTAAAGAAGAAGAAAGTCAACTCAGACAATGGAATATAAAGTAGTGACCTTGTGTCTCCAGTTGAGAATGACTCGGACTGAAACTAACAGGATGACGCCAGTAAACTAAAAGTGTCCAATGTTGCAGAGTGTAGATGTACTCATCTAAAGTATGTGACAGTCTCGGTGTTAAGTCACAGCTGCGTTTATTTCACTCTTATCAGGAGCAACTTGTTTCTGACGATGCGTCTCTCTTTCATTTGTTACATATCATGTGTTTTCTAATCATATGTTCAGTCGTCTGTGGGGTACAGTGTCTCACACACACGCACACACACAGACACACACACACGCCCTGTTGCTCTAAGTTAACACAGTTTCCTCTCTGATAGCGGCGGCTCGTGTTCCTGCGAAACGTGACATCAGCACTTTGGGAGATATTTTACGCATGCCATAAACATGTTAGCTTCTTATCAAACTGCACTCAGTGTGGCCCAAACATGAATGTGTGTGTTCACTTGTATGGTCATACACACGGTGAATGTGGAAGCAGTGTGACTCAAAGTCGGCTCACCGTAAGGTTCAATTCAGCCTGTCAGATGTATAAAGTGATTGCTGTTTATGCTGTTTTTGTGAGGTAAAAATGATCTTTAAATATGTAATTTAATAGTTGTCAACTATTAAATTAATCCCTGACTCTATTGATATTTTCTGGTTTCTTTAGTCCTCTCTGGCAGTAAACGGAACTTCTTTGGGTTGTGGACAAAACAAAACATTTGCGGGCATCACCTGGGGAAACAGTGATGGACATTTTTCAGTATTTTCTGATATACATAATTATTCATTATTTAACACTTTGTGCAGGAAGTCAGTCAATTAAGGGAACTTGGGATCCTAGTACCATTTTGCATCTCAATAAAAGGTGTTTTTTTTTTGTGTGGCCCACCATTAAGTTTCAGTTTTGGCCGTCTAAGAGACCAGGTTTGGGCGCTCTGCTGTAGACCAGTGATTCTCAACCTTTTCCTTTAAGGGAAGGAATATTAAACTTATGACCCCTGACTAAGAGACGTGCATAATGCGTAACAATAACAGTACAACTGATAACTGTACAATGAACCTTTGAACTTTCTTCAAAGTTTAGATCTTAAATATCAACCTCACCTTTAAAAATAACAGTTAAATTTCACTTTCTTCACAGAAATCAATGAAATGCTGACATATAGGCCTCCAAATCAAGAAAGCCTCGCAACCCCCCGTGAAGCCTCAGCGACTCCCTACTACACTGCTACACTGAAGCATTTTACTGTAAGACTTAAATGTACTTCATAGGTTAAAGTTATTATTCTAAACACTCCTCAGTTGCACTTGCATTTACACAAGCTTTTTAAATAATAAATTAAAGTATTTGTAGGAGAAGTTTAAGTAGAGGAAAATCTATACGATTGTGACAAATTCAATATACTGAAAACATTCAAAACATACACTAAAGAAGACATTAAAGAATATAGACCAGTGTCCACACTTAAAAACTCTTATAGTAATAAAATAGTAGTATTTGATTAATAACTGCTGAAATGAGCCGTTACTGTGCTAAATGTTAAATAATACGCACTGTCCGTTTTAAATAAACCAATAAAGAATACAAGACTTAAGTCGTAGAAACAACAGTGGGAGTAACGGTTGAAGCAGGAACAACATCATCTATTTACCTTTTCTGTGTGTATTTAACGGGGTCAACACTGGTGAACATTACACAGGGCCAACAGACATACACAGGGCGTCCAGCTGAAGCTAATATACAGCCTCCTCCCTCATTAGATTCTGAAATGAATAAATCAGCTTGAAAGGGATTAAAGAACAGCTCCAAGCTACAAACAACTGAGCAGATAAAATAGACTGAGTCAGTTTAAATACGTGTCTAGGTGTGTTTTATTTCTGTTTTCAGGCATTTTTCGTCTGTGTTTGGAGTTTGTCTGTGCACGCGTTGGATAAAAAGGTCTAAAAATAACCCATCAACATCACAGAATAACCTACGCGACACAGGAGCAGAAACGTGAGAGGCAAAGCAGCACTGACAAGAGCAGGTGCACCGTCGACACCAGTGCACTTCACAGTGGAGCCCAACCACCTGTTCCTGCTGAAAGTCAGTCTGCACAGAGCTGAGGCAATTAGCACACACACCGAGTAGTCGATTAAATGGGGATAATCGATCGATCGTTTAGTGCCAAAATGTAGCTTTTCCAATGTGCTGCTTTTCTACATTCTTCTTCTTCTTTCTACTATCTTCGAGTTTTCTACAGTTAGTTGGATCAAAGAAGCAATATAAAAACGTCACCTTCAGCTATAGGACGTTATATAAACTGTATAATAAACTAAACAGTTGATCTAAACAATTACTGACCAATTAATCAATATCAAATAGACAATTACAGCCCCGACTGTGTGGCTGAGACACACAAACACAGGATAGTCTTTGCAATGTAAAAAGTGTTGAACTATTCCATTAAGGTATGGGACATTTAAGACGCAGCGCTATGATCACACCAACAATGAATAATTAAAACACAGAAAGCATCCTGTCAACTTTGGCACCAAACAGCTGATGGTTGGTGGCCAAGCTGACAGCCAATTCTCAAACGTGCTGCTGTAGGAATATCAGCAGCAGTGGAAGGAAATCCCTTCAATACTGCCTGAAATGCAGGATCAGGGAATCGGCGACTACCGAAATCCCACCGGGCACGCATTCCAAGCGCCGTGGTTTGGCGACATCATCTGCGCATCTGTAGAGAAGTGCTACGCAGATAAAGGTTTTTTGTTTGTTGTAATTGAGTTCATCATTGTTAGTTTAAGGGTTTTTTTGTGGTGTGAGAATCAAACCAGAGTCTGCATGCAGTATTGGTTTTTCTTTTTAAATTGACCAGATTCACTTTGCTGTTTCTGTGCCGGACTTCCTGCCAATGCGATCTGCTCTGTGCTGCTTAATGTAGGTAGGTCGCAGCTTCCTTCAAAAATAGACCAGCCGCTTATTCTCCGTGGAGCAGAGTGGGAGACAAGAGATGTCTACAGCGGACATGATCAGCTCTGCGGCTGCCCTTACATTCTCATCCTGTAGCAACAGTATCATTACTAATAGGTAGTAGTAGGAGCAGTAGTATCTCATTAAAGCTGCAGAAGGCAACTTTTATAAAAAAACATTTTTTTTGTAATATAAAAAAAATCTGGTTCCTCTGACTCGTTGTAGTGCCCCTAATGACGTTTGCACGAAACCACCGGGCCTGAACGAAAGCAACCAATCAGAGCCAAGACAGACAGCTAATGGCTGAGTCTCATTCAAGGCGTCAAATACCCGAGAGACTCAACAATCAACTATCTTCAAGCCTCCAACCAAAAGCAACTTTATATCTTTCTCAATTCTGATTGGTTGTTTTCGTTCGGGCCTGGTGGATTAGTGCAAATGTCATTCGGGGCACTAGAACAAGCCGGAGGAACCTGATTTTTTCACGGATTATCTGTCTCATGTTCTACTGACAGGTTATAGTGAAAGATTCAGCAAATCTGGGAAAAAGTTTTTTTTTATTAAAGTTACCTACTGCAGCTTTAATGCTTGCTGCTAGTCGATACCAAAAAACAAAGCCATAATCAATAAGATAATCAAAGATATTTGTAGTAGTAGGATTTTGTGATGACCTCAGCCTCGCCCTGTGTGTCCGCACACAGCAGCCAGGTTCCCCCGGACTCACCGCCCCTGTTCAACCCTGATCAGCCCTATCGGTTTCAGATAAACGGGGTCTGATCATCTTAAACTCAGCCCACCTGAGGTGGCGTGTTTGCAAAATGGCTGAGCGTCACGTCCGGAGTCTTTCTGATGTTTCTGTCATAGATAGTTTCTTATTTCACAGATCCCCTGATTCAGACCTCTGATGTAGCGGAGACCAAAGGAAAGCCTGTTTTCAACAACACATCAGATCACATGCCTCCTCTCATGCTGAGAGAAAGGTGGATGAGAACGCTGATGAAACAAGAAGTGAGCTAAACTGGGGGTCGAGCCAGACAAAAGTTATTTACATACATGCAAATATAAGATGCCTTTGTGGTATATTAATGGAAGAAAGCCTTTACTCCGTATGAAAGGGAGTGAAACCTGCATTATAAAGGCTGACAAAAGGAAGGTAGAGTGACAGCTGGGTTCCTGGCAGGGCCAAGAAAACAACGGACAAGTACAGGAGCAGGAGTTCAATGCACTGACAACAAGTCTTTCAGAAAGGTCTGATGAACAGATGCCAGACTATGGTGATAACCCACATTAGAGGAAGAAAACCATGTGTTTAAAACCTGTAACGTTACATATAATGGTACCTTTCTTGTGTCATCAGTCACAATTCCTGGGTATATTTCATAGAAAAACGGTGGTTTATTCGGCCAGAAGAAAAACACAAGTTATTTTTCCTAATAAAAATTCAAGTTTTGAAAACTACTCACCACTGCCCTCCGCGGTGCAGTTGAGCAGCAGCAATGCCTAACTGATTCAGTTTTACATAAAAATAACAAATTGCATTAATTGATTTATAGACGCCGAATTGAATGGCAACCCACAACGAGTCATACACTGTAAATGGTATTACTGTACCTGCCGCACACGCTTAGAAATAAGCAAAACAACATTTAAAGTCAAGATTTTTAAACGGGGTTCGGCAAAAACATTCCTCAAACCAGAGAGAAAACGGCACTTTTTGGGGGGGCTGCTTCGGACCGAGGCCTAATGTCTCTCGTGCAAAATCGACAGGGTGAAATAGCAACTCGAGAGCCGACTCGTTGGCAGCAGCGGAGGGGGATGTGGACTCGTTTTACGGCCAGGCAACGTCGAAAACAAGTGTTTCAAGTGACGAGGTACAAGGTTCACCTTTACCGAGAAGGTAACGAGATTTCAGCGGCTGCTGGAGCCGACTCATTACCGCGACCTCCCGCACAAACACACACCGTAATGCCGGTATTCACTCTGCACTGTCACATATTTCCAGACCTGAATGCACTCACCGTCCCCGGAACCCCCTCGGTGTTGTGTTTGTTTTTGTTGTTCTTCAGTTAGTTGTCAGTTTAAGACACGCCCACTTAGCCGGAAGTTACGCAGTTCAAATGTCTTGTTTTTTTCCGTCTTCTTTTACTTTGCTTCATTATTTCATGTAAATGTGCACTTGTTGTGATTCTGCTGACTTAAAACAATAATAAACTAAAAAAAAAAAAAGAAATTTTATTTATTTATTTTAATTTTATTTTATGTATTTTATTTTGTAGCATGAAGGAACTGCAAACTTTCATTTCGTTATTCAACCTTGTGTTGTATGATGATAAATATATTCCCCTGATTCCTTATATTTTGATTCCAGACAGTTATAAATCAGCAGTGTTACACAGTAAATAGAGATAGGACAGGTCAATATAAATGCCTGTAATAATAATAATAATAATAATAATAATAATAATAATAATAATAATAAACACCCAAATATAGCTCGTTCGGGAGGGACTCAAATCAGTTTTTTGGGGGGATTTATGTAAAATCTTAATTTGTAAGAAAATAAAAAATACATTAAGTCGCTGCAGTAGTAGTACATAAATGTAATACAACTAAAAAGTACAATATTACTAAATGTGTAGTAAAAACATTAATTACATGTCAAAGACAACATGGAGTCTTCTTGATAATATAATTTCAATAAAATTACATTCAACTTGGCTTGTTTATATATAATTCCCCCACTATTATAAATAGTTAATCAAAATAAAATTAATACAATTGATAAATAAACGAACATTTCTACAAAAGGAAATAATTTGCTTAATAACCAGGCATGAAAAGGGAAGAAGCTGGACAGATCATTGTTTTCATAATTTAAGCCAAATACAGAAACACATGTGTAATCTGAGTTTGTATTTGCAGTCAGTAGTTGTAATGTTTTTAGGGACTGGAAGAGGCCACATGCTGCCACCAGATGGCAGTCATGTTATGTGTTTCTACTACAATTCAATCTGCTTTCAGTTTAAAGCTCCATCTGACTGGAGTAATCTTTGTTTTTTAGATACATTACCTCTTTCTGTTGTTTTTCTGAAAACAACTTGTTTATGTTTCTAATTTTTGTTTACTTAATAACCTTCAGTTCTTTTCATTTATTATCCAGGTCAGTGTTTCTAACTTAGGGCTGGGAGTGTGGGTGGGAAAGGGTGAGCGAGCTGTCTGTATCTGTGTATTTGCGGTAAATCTTTGTTATGTAACGCTGTTTTTTTTGTTCATATGAAAAAAAAAATCTCATCTCAAGGGACATTCAATTCTAATTTTACGACAGGGTTAAAAAAGGAAGAGATTACCCTGTTTGTGGAGACATTTCCACCAAAATGCACCAATAAAATAATTTTAAAATACTCTGCTGCATTTAAAACCCTGCTTGAATTCAGATAAAACTATAAAAAAGTGGTTGACCATCCAAACCTCCACAGGGTCACAAGATAAAACTGACAGGTTGTGAGAAGATTAATGGCTAATTAATTCATTTTGCACTATTCTCTTATTCTTTCAGTGAAATATTGGACACGGTAGTCGGGCCTACGACTGCCTTCGCATTAAAGGTCCAGTGTGTAACATTTAGAAGGATCTGTTGGCAGAAACGGAATATAATATTCATAGGTATGTTTTTATTAGCTGTAAATAAGAATTGTTGTGTTTTTGTTATCTTAGAATGAGTTTTTATCAACAGAGGGAACTGGTCCTCTTCTACGGAGTTTCTACTGTAGCCTACAACAGACAAACCAAACACTGGCTCTACATAGGGCCGTTCAAGTTTCACAGCCACTGTTGTTTGTTGTTGGTTGCAATCTGCAATCTCACTGCTAGATGCCGCTAAATCCTACACACTGGTCCTTTAACAGTTCAACTTAGCTACATTTGGGAAATCTTGTGTACCTGTATCTGTATGTGTCTCTCTGAGTCTGAAAGAAAGTTTTTTACAATTCTTGATATCATCATTTCATTTATTATCTCCACCAAGGAGGTTGTGTTTTTGGCGCTTTTTGTGGGGTTTTTTGTCCCTCAGGAGGCTTACAGAAAAACTGCTGACACGATTTTCATGAAATTTGGTGGAAAGGTTCATCACGGGCCTTTAAATAACACATTCGAC